ATCCAAAAGAGAGAGACCCACAGCTCAGGAAGAGTCAAGAACAAAGAAAGGGATGAGAAAATGGAGCAGTTGATAAAGAAGGAATGACAAACATTGATTCTTGTATCTGGTGCTGGATGACAGCATAGGAATATGTGACCAATAGCACACTAAAACATTTGAGAATCTACAAGGTACCTTGAACTGCCTTATAATAACAGATGTAAAGAGGAAGCCATCTTTCCTATAAGAACTTATTTGAGATAAGCTAGACATGAAGTTTTATAATAGCAACTACTACATTAAATGTATATCAGATATGTAATGCAATCAACAGGTAATTTGGTATGTCTGCATACAAATTGTACTCTGTACATCTGCTTTCATGAATATACATGTGTGTGTCTCTGTGTGTACATATGTGTTTTTCATTGTATTTTCTTTTGTCCTCTTTTCTCATCAGTGAACCAACAGCACAACACATCAACAAAGACAGAGTCAAGGTCAATATTCCTTTCCTACAGTTCCCAAGCTTCTGATCTTTCACTTTTGTGAAACAGGATATGCTATCCCTGGTTTATCTCAGAGCTCACAGTAACTTCCAAAACCTACAAGAAACCTTGATAATGTCTGGCTCTGAACCCTGATAAGGAAACTCTCAATGAGAAACAAAAATAATTATCCATACCCTGTGCAGCTATGAAATCACCTAGAAATCTTATCAAAAGATTTAGTGCATTCTCAGCATCTCTCCTCAGTAATGTCACCAGCCCATGACCACAGTCAGGAAGGAGAAAGAAGAAAGGACAGCTCTTGTTTTTTCAGGTCTGGTTGAAATTGCTTTGTGAGGGTCAACTTTCTAGTGGATACATGGTCTTGTTTCCAGAACTAGAACTGAGCTCAAAGAAATGTCTCTTAAATAGATATAAATTAACCACATGCCAAAGATACCAATTTGGCATCTCTGGTACAGATGAACAACCAAGAAAACTACATTTTCCTTCTATTTCTACTTTTTGAGATGCCTTAAAAAGCATGTCCACAAGGATTTGCTCAGTTTTCTCATCACTAAACCAGGGAACTACCCCTCTCATGCACAGCTTAGGCTGAAAGTCCGTGTGACATGCTGATGCTCAGACTTGCCCTTTTCAATGACATATGGCAAGACAGGGGTGTTCATCAGCTGTCCTGCAGAAAAATCTTGCCCTGTGCCATTAGCTTACATTCTCTTAAATTACTACCAAAAAAATTATTCAGCTGATTCAACTAAATCAATGTTCTCTACCCAAGGCTGTTGTGAGGCTATTACAATGTTAATCAGAAGCATATTCAAAAGTTAATATATTGATCATTCACTTTGATTACAGCTATGTGAAGATGTAAAACGTTTGGCACATGCCACCCTCCTCACCTACCCAGTAAATGCAAAGGGAATCCAAAGGATGCAAGAGTAATTCTAATGCCTTTCACAATATTATTATCCATCATCCCCACCTGGAACATGACACTGAGATACAGAAGCCAGCAGAAGAGGAAGGGGAAAGGTTGCTAAGTAACAGTCCTACAAAAGGAGGGCTGCCTGAGGACTTCCCAGCTAAGCAGACCCATACAAGGTACATAAGAGGGTTGTAAGAGTCCACTGGTTCCTTTCTAAAGAGGTCAGTTTAGCACCTGGTGGGTCCTTTCTACCCAGTGAGAAATACTCGCCTGTTACTGAGATTGAACCAGCCCTGGTCTGGGGCTCTACAGTACATCTATTATGTGGACTCTGAGAACTAGAAGGTTTGTGTTTGAAACTGCTTGTAATGGTACTTAGGTGGAGTCTATAACCAAGTCACTAGATTTGAAGCATCAAATTACTGAGAAGGGCAGGTACCCTTTAGATGTGCTAAGGTATAACAGTGACTTGCTGCAGTAGGCCCTGTTTCTAGCACAGTGTTGAGATGACAAAGATAAGCTGTCTTTATTGTTGCTTTTGTAATTGTTTCAAAACTCTGTGTATTTTCAATATGAGCAATGGGTGAGTAACTGGTGTTAGTCCCAGAATACAGCCAGAACACATTTTATTGAAGTTGTTTATGTCAAAATGAGGCCTTGCCTCTTGACTGAGTCTGAAGGCCAAATTACATCTGACTCAGCTCATAGATGCAGAAGGCAAGGGTTTTCTGGGCCATCCAGTCCCAAGTATCTATGCTGCCATGGAAGTTTGAGTTCCAGCTGATCAACTGGCATCATTGGAAGCAAGGGATTCAAGACAAAAATAGCTCCAGCCACTTTGGAATACTGTCTGCTCTTATTCTGGGAACTAGTTAATATTGATTCTAGCCCATGCTCAAGCTAATTTAAAACTTGTGTGCAGTCCCTTGTGAATACACTAGTTGATGAAGCAGCCAAAATAAGGAACTCATGTGTGTATGAAAATTTTGGGAAAAGAATTGAGAGGAATTGGAAATTCTGGATGTGAAGTATATGCATACAGGGAATCCAGTTCAGAGGAATCTATGGGAAATACTTGGAGTTCTTTGGCAAAAAGGAAGTATTTAAAACATAAATTTAAAATATCATCGCCATCATCTGAAAGAGCCTGCAGTTTTCAATGATAATCACTTGATCCCTACAGAGAATTTCTTAAGGGGTCTGTAAATGAGAACTGCAATAAGTCAGATGTTTTCTTTTTAAACATGAGCATCATACTGTTCACTTGATACTTAAGCTTTAGAGCTTAGATCTTCCTCTTCCCTGGTATAATTTTCATCTAAGCATTCCTTAGATACTTGGATCATTCTTAATGGAGAACAAGCATTATATCCTCTGTGGACACATGGAAATCTGGATAATTGGACCTAGTTGATTACAGCAGCAGATAATTTCTCCCATTTCCTTCCACTACAATAAAAGCTTAAGATATGTTTTGCCACCTACTATGTAAATTATTTTTAGATTACAGACTCTCTCTAAAGCCTAAATTATAGGAAAACCGTCTTTTAGTTTTCCCTCCCCCCAAATTTCTAATTCTAACTAAAATTATTTTCTTTTTAGTATGAAACTGGAGTGTCCTAATAACATTTGAAATGAATCGTCAGCACTGATAACCATCACTCCAATTGTAACTGAATATTAGCATTGCAATAAAGCCTTCTGTTTCAGTGACAGCATGTCACTGGACATGGATGGACTGTCTGCTTCCTAAACCCGAATACACAGGATACAGGAAACATTCTTTTATCTGAAAACGTTTTGTTTGTTATTAACCCTCATCGTTTAGAAATGTCTTTCTAAGTGTTTTTTTTCCTCTTAGTTAAACCAAAGTGTGTTGCAGTTGAGAATTTAGTCCTGTCTCTTTAAGTGTGTGCCTAATTCCAATGGATAGAATGCCCATATATTATACCTGTCAAATTCTTTAAATGCTAATGAGTCACCTCACTGAAAATAAACTGCAGGCTTTCTTTTGAAAACTTAAAAGTCCTCACAAGTTGGAGAACGTTTGCCTCAGTTCAGTGTAAATCAGGACAAAGAGGAAGTAGAAAGTAATCCAGACACTGGTTCAAAACACAAATAAATGTGCCCTTAAACCCTATCATGCATGAGCCCACTCTTGCGATGATGAAAGTTCCTACTTCAGTAAGAAAACACTGCGGTGGGAATGGGGTGGGGGAGGGGTCAAAAGGGGAGATAGTTCATAGGAGACGTAAACCATTTCCTCTTCATAGATACAAAAACTTTGCATTCTTTGAGAATGCCTGTCTAGGGGGTAAAGTCTCTGTAAGCGGGTTTTCTCCGGTCCTCTCCAGACCCTGGTGAGAATTTCCTCTCTTCTGTGAAGCCATACTGTTACTCTAAGGGGCACAGCCCAGACACGAACTCTGAAATTTCAAAAATGCGATAAAGCTCGAAGCGGCAGCCCTGGGAGGCAAGCAGCTGCCTGGTGACCGCTGATGAAGTGGCTTCTTAAGGAGGTGGGCAGATTGATTCCAGCTGCCGAGCGCCAGGCAGGGCAGCGGCCGCGGAATGCACAGCCAGGCGGAGGCAGGACTGTAGCAGCTTCCCAAGCTCGGGCCAGGCCAAAGACTAACTCGGCAGTTTCTGCCCAAGTGGGAGGGGCTTGGCCTCGTTCCAGGCAATAGAAACTTCCAAGGCAGTCTGGGCCAAAAGGTACCAGTGTCACTTCAAGAGTGGAAGGTGACTCAGGGTATCTGGAAGCTGTCTGAGATCCCTGTTCAGAAGAGTCCGCGTTTCCTAAGTGGTATCCTTCCTGGGGATTCCTGTTCGGTTACCCCCACCCGCTCCCAGCTCTGGATCTTCTGACAGTTTCGACCCCCTTGTTGTCTGTTTTGGTTGCCCACCCTGTGATCAATACTCTAGAGAGTCGGTACAGTACAGGGGAGGTGCAGGAACATGGAGGCTTGGAACTGGCCCAGAGGGGACCTATGATAAGGCTTGCTCTTTAGAAGGGCTAGCCTCAAAGCAAGAAGCAAGAGAACTCTGCGTGTGTGTGTGTGTGTGTGTGTGTGTGTGTGTGTGTGTGTGTGTGTGTGTGTGTGTGTGTGTGTGTGTGTTGGGGGCTGGGGAGTTTAGTAGTCTCCCGAGAGCCCCAAAGTCAGACACCAAGTGATCTAAGAAGAGGGAAAGGGTAAGAGGTAGGCGGGCATGAAGGCACGCCTAATGGAATATTCAATATCCTGAGAAATGCACTTTCGGCCCTGCACTTCCAGAGACTAAAAGCCAGTAATGGGCTTTGGAGTCTGCACTTCCTCTCCCTAATGTCCACAGGGCTTTAACGCTGCAGCCGGATCGATCTGCCTTCTCCGAGAAGGCGGTGTGTGGAGTGCAAAACCTTCCTACTGTGGCCAAAATCCACCCAGCCTCTTCTGAACACCCTGAAGATACTACACAACTTGGAAATGGAAGACTCTGGCTCTTAATGCCAGGGAGGAAGACAGGGAGAAGCGAGGTGTCGCCTAGAGAAAGCATTCCCTCCCTTGGCTCCCTATACCAACTTTTCCTGGAAGGGGTTGACATTGAAGCAAACAGACATGCTGTTCCCCTTGCACTAGACTGAGCAGTTGTTCCTAACCTGCTTCACGTGCAAGGAGACTCAACCACCACCAACCCCAGGACAACTGAGAGTGGAACTTCTGGAAGGAACAGAAGCAGAGCAAATGAGCACCCAGAGGTGGGGTTTGGTGGCCTTCTCTTGATGACATCACAGCTCCCCCTGAAAGTGACCCTGTGAATAACCCTTCCCTCCCAATCCCTTGCTGAAGGCTGGATCTATGGGGTGGAGATCAGACCCCAGTCCGCCCCAACCCGGCCAGAGCCCTCTTGGCAGATCTCACTGTATCCAGACAAACTCTGTCTCTAAACTGAACTCCGACCCCAGCAAGCCACAGGTCACTCCGCGGCCTGGGTCTAAGGGTCGCCTCTGGGAAATTTCCCAGTCCGGGGACGGTCAGGGTTCAGTTCCAGTGTGGGCGCCCAGGGAGGCAGCAACCCGCGCTGTCAAGCGCAAGGTAGCAAACTTTCCGCGGTCCCTCTCCCCACCCCCACGCCACAGGGGTGCGTCTCCACGAAGAGCTCGCCTTTCCCAGCCCGCCAGAGACAACCACAGCACGTGATGCGCAGAAACAAAAATAAACACTTCCCCTTCCCGGACCGCCACGGCGAGCAGGGGGCGCCCTGCGCTATCCCGGAGTCGCACACCCCACACCCCACCCCTGCCGCCCCTAAGGCAGTCCCCACGGGCACCGGGAGAATGTGGCCCCTGCCCCGCGACGCCCTACTCCTACCTCTCGGATTTGGTGAACTTCCGGAACGCCTGGCGCAGGTCGTGGAAGGACCTGTAAGTCTGCGGCTCGGCGGAGATGCCCTGTGCCCGGGTGGTCCGCGGGCCGATGTGGGTGGAGGGCACCGGCAGCACGGATTGGCATTTGTGAAGCTTCCTCTTCAGCTCCTGGATCTCTTCCTCCTTCTCTGACAGCCGCTTCTCCAGCTCTTTGATCCTCTCCTCCTTGAGCAGGAGAATCTTCGCAAAGTCTTCCTCCAGTTCACTCATTTTTATGGTTAAGCCAGATCCCCCCCTTTGGAAACTTTTCCTCCAGCGGCACGCCGGCGGCTGGGACGGCAGAGGAGCGCAGCGCAGGGAGCCGGGGACTAGGGCGCTCAGCCCGGAACACGGAGTGTGGCCCCGCTCCTGCAATTGCTTCTGCTGAATGGACTAGAAGCTCAGAGGGGACGGTGAGGCGATGAGGCGTCTAAAAGGAAGGAGAGGAGAGGCAGAGTGCTAATCCCTAGCGTCTCTGGGGAATAGGTGATTATCTTTCATTGAGAAACCAATTAGAGCCGCCCTTCCTCCCCTGAGACCCCCCTCCCTCGTCCCCCTTTCCCAGTCGCTTGGTGAGAATAAGGGAGCGCGCCACCCCACCGAGAGCCTGGTTTCTAGGAGGGCTGGACCAGAGAGCCTGAGCTTACTCCATCACTCAGTCACTCTTCTAGGCTATATGGTACCAAAAGAAGGGAGTGGGATGGGGTGCTTTATGACACTTGATGCCTGAAATAGCTACAATTACCATGTGATCTCTTGAGGATGACGCAGTGCTTGTAACTGGATCCTGAGAGAGAGAGAGAGAGAGAGAGAGAGAGAGAGAGAGAGAGAGAGAGAGAGATCATAAATATTAAATTGCCTTTAGACAACCTAAAGAAACCCATCTTTGTTTTCGCCATTTCCTTCTTTTCTGCTTGGCATGCCTGGATGTGGTCATGAGAGAAGGTGCATGTGTGTGCATCTCTTCTCACTGTCAAGCTCTGAGATTGAGACCTTCATTAATAAGAATGACCAACAGGGCAACAGCAATACTAGTAATTCCGAGTTTTGGTAGCACATAACTTCACTGGAAATTGTGGACTAAACAGTTGGAGGGGAAGTTGAATGAGCATATCATGATGAGCCAAGTGATTATGGAAAACGCAAGGCCATGCGTTGATTGTGAACAGTTTAAAGTCTGGATTTTATTTTATCTGCTCCAGTTAAATATTGTATATTGAGCACCCAAATATCATCTTTCATGGCTCTGAAGTGGCTACTGCAGCTGCTGAACTGCTGGCTCACCCTCCCAGTTGAATTTGAAAACTGCAACCTTATTCATCTTTGTTTCTCCCTTATCTGAGCATCCATCATCTAGCCAATGCTAACGGAATTATTATAGCCCTTTGATCCCGAGTATTTAGTAATTACTACACTTTAAAGATACCCAGTGTACACCACAGACAGCATGTTTTATTTTTAAAAAAGCATTGTTCTCCGTTTATTTGGTGAATGGGGGAATTCTTTCAGGTAATGAACAACAAGTTAACAAATTTTAGCAGATGCAACTAAAACAGAGTTTCTCTTAACTAGTAAACACTTTCCTTTAAAAAGGAAAAACAGTGTGTGTTTTACTTTAAAAATTAAGTAAATAAGTATACTATCTGGTCTGAAACAATGCATGAAAGGAAAACAATCATGTGCTTTGGCTTTTAAATAAACCCTAAAATATATTTTCTCTCCTATTACCTAGTGCTAGCTGTACTCACTGATTACATTAAGTTAGAATCATTAAGCACAACATCTGGGTTTCTTAAGGGAAACAAATACCTCTACCCAGGCTCAGCTGTCTGTGGTGGTGATGATGGTTGTTTTCCTGTCTCCTCCTGTGTGAAAACGGAATCTGCCACAATCTGTTTTTTAGAAATACTCAAAATCATGGGTATTTTAAAAAAACTACTCCATGCAAAACAACAACAACAAAAAAACCTTTTATCATGTTTAAAAGTCTAGGGCACAGTTTCAACATTGCCTATTGAAAGGACCATTTAAGCCAGGATGCCATATGTATGTCAGAACTCCAAACCAACCACTTTCCTCCTAAATTAAACTTATTTTTAAGTGAGTCCCTTTTAGTTTAAGTAATGGTGATGCATGGAGAAATAAACAGTCTTGTTCATTAGCTGAAAACTGTGTGATTTAGATCATAAGGGAAGCCTGATAAGACGACCTAACCCAATGACCTTACACTCTACAGGGGAAGATGGAAGACTGCAAAGTCCAAGGCCAGTATAGAAGTCTGAGTTCAAGACTGGGATGCCATGGTGTTGGGTTCTGCACCAGTTGGACATGGTGGCATTCCAGTGGCCCAGCTGTGAGATGTGGCATTACCCTTGTTTCTTCTAAATCTGCAGCAGCACTTCTGTTGGAGCAGAAGTAGTAATGAAACTTTTTTTTTTAATGAAAGGTGAAGGTCGCCATCTAGTGCCCTGAGAAAAAATTTACTAAAAACGATCTTAGTCACAATGAAGTTGCAGTTATTTCCTTAAATGCCTATAGCAATGTTTACATGTTCCGTGGTCAAGAATAGTAGAAAATGTGAAGATCATGTTTTTAAAATTATCTTTTATAGCCACTAAATAATAATAAAAAGGATGCTAAACATTTTTAAAGATTATTGTTGTTATTGGTTTTTTTAAGACAGAGTTTTTCTCTGTAGCCCTGGCTGTTCTAGAACTCACTCTGTAGCCCAGGATGGTTTTGAACTCAGAGATACACCTACTCCTGCCTCCCAAATGCTGGGATTAAAGTTGTGTGCCACCAGTGCCCAGCTCTCATTTTTAAGCGTGTGTGTGTGTGTGTGCGCGCGCGCGCGTGCGTGTGTGTGCGTGCGTGCGTGCGTCGTGTGTGTGTGTGTGTGTGCGCGCGCGCGCGTGCGCGCGCACGGGGGGTACCCAAGGAGGCCTGAAAAGTGCAGTGGGCCTCCCGGAGCTGGAGTTGTAGGGGTAGTGAGCCAACAGACACAAATGCTGGTAACTGAACTCAGGTCCTCTGGAAGAGTAGTAGGTACTGAACCTACTGAGAGATGGATCATCTCTCTTAGCCCTCAGGGTTTATAATGCATGCCAGCACAGAGCTAAGCCTGAGCATGCTAATTTTAATCCCTATAGTGACTCTGGAAGCTAACTCCTTACTCCATTCCATTTTAGACATGGATTTACTGATTTTTGCACAGATTAGGTGATTTTCCTTGGTAGCACTGTCTCGTTTTGCCATGGACCATGTGAATCCCAGTGCAGTGTGCTTCTACATGAAATACATAGCGAGGTGGATGTATGCCTCTATGAAGACAGGGAGAAACAGAACTAAAGTGCACAAGTGGACTTTTGGAGCCCATTGCCTATTGAGGGATACTGTTGTAGCCCACATGCACGAAAGAGGGCCTAGGCCCTCCCCCAAATGATGTGACAGACTTTGATGACCCCCCTGTGGAAGGCCTCACTATACTTGGGGAGTGGGTGGGGGTGGGCTGGGGAGGTCTGTGAGGGGCATGGAAGAATGGGTGGATGAGAGAATGTAAAATAAGATTATTTCTAAAAGAAAAAAGAAAAAATTTCTTTGATTATGGGAACACAGTAAGCTTAAAATCTTATATGATTCCAAAGAAATCCCTAAGATCCAAGTTCTAACAATCAGCTGTCTTACTGAAGTTTTTCTCCTTGTGACACTTTAGGATTACATTTTATATACAATGCCAAATATTTTTATCTAAAAAAGAATATCCACTGTCAAATGTTATAGTCATGGTTTGCCCCTCTTTTTTCCCCTTTCATATAGAACATTTTCCTAAAGAAACTAAAGTGTTACAGGCATGTTATAGTAGTTTTCATGATATTCCTATCTTTTAATCTAGGTCAATATCACAGGAGCCATTATTATCTACTTACAACTTTAAAAGGTAACTAAAGGTGAGTCTGCTTCAGTGTCTCTATCTTCTAGAAAGAGATAGTATCAGTGACAGTAAGGGTCCAGACCAAAGAAAATGATCAGGTACCTATTTATGGGGCCAGTAAGAATGGCCATACAAGACAAGAAACCAAGGCTGAGAAAGTAAAAATCAAGGCAGGGGTCCCACCTTTGAAATGGGGTGAGAGTCAATACACTATCTCTCTGCTTACTCTGCCACTACATCAAAACACTTCTTATAGTGATAGAAATGGCAGTGTTTTTGAAAGAATGCTATGACACCATTGGTAAACCAAAATGAAAACATCCACATTCATGTTTCTGTTCAGTCGTTACTAAAGCTGGGTGCTTAAGGAAGAGCCATGGCCTTCTCCTTCTGATCCCCAGCAGGTCTGCAGATATCTGTTCTCATTCTGACCTTATAGACCATGTTCATCCTATGACTTCCACAGGGTTTAAAACTCGGAAAGAAGGACAAATTCTGGTATGTCCTGTGCCATAAGGAAAAAAGTATACTCATTTGACAATTAGAAACTAAGTTATATTCAGTTTATTCTCTGTTGTACTAAATTTTCCCTTAAGCATCTATTTTACTTGAATCAGCTATGTTCTGGTGACCAAGAAGTGTGACCATCCCTAACTCAAAAATGTAAGCTTATTAAGTCCAGATTCACACCAGCATCCTCATTAAAAAAAACACATAAAACATAAGGATAGCTAATTAAATGTTGGCTTCATTTTTAAACCTTCTAAATTTAAATTTATCACATTACATTTATTGAATTTACATAAAGAATCATAATAGCTTTGCTTTTTGAAAGAAAAGTCTTCCTCCACAGAAAAGTGTACATAAATCATTTTTCACAATGTAAAATAGTTTTTTATCTGTTCAGCAGCTTATAACAGAAGAGCCATTGTCTTCTTTATATGCTGTATCTGTGCATATGTTTTAAAAATAAGCCATCTTAAAATTTGGAAATATAATACTTAAACATGAAACCATGATACTTAATACATTGCAGAGCTCTAATTCTATAGATTGTTAGAGTCTTGGACGTAGAATATGAAGACAGGGCTACCATGTGACTTTAAGCTATTAATTATTTCCTCATGAGCTTCAAGAATACAAACTATATATATATATGCATATATATTTCTTTTACACCTAAATCCTCAAGGTTATTTGTCTTTTATCACTTAATTGTAACCCACAACACACACACACACACACACACACACACACACACAGGTGTTGAGGACCTTTGGTTTAAATGACTGTGGCAGTACTCATACTGTCTCCATACCCCTGCTACACATATGCCATCTCTCAGTTATTCAATTAAAAACTAATCTGCACACGTGTGACAGTTGTGTAACATGATCTTTTGGGGGACTCTTAACAGTGAGAGAAGGGCATGTCTCTGACTCTTTTGCTGGCTTTTGGAACCCTATTCGTCATACTGGTTGCACTGCCCAGCCTTAATACAAAGTGATGTGCCTAATCTTGATATGCCATGTTTTGTCAATATCCATGGGAGAGCTGCCCTCTTCTAAATAGAAACTGAGGAAGAATAGATGGGGAGGGAGCAGAGGAAAGGTGGTGGGGAGGGACTGGGAGTAGAGGAGGAAGGGGAAACTGTGGTCAGGATGAAAAATAAATACATTAATTAATTGATTAATTAAAAATAATACTCAAAGCAGGGCTGTGAAGGCTTGTTAAAGCTATAATTGACATCACAATATTTTGCCTTTAAAACAAAACAATTATTTGGGTGAGCCTGATCTAATCCAGTTTCTCTAGTTCATTCAAAGTAAATTTTTTGTGAACTCTGAGGATAAAGCAGACACATGGCAAGGAATGTAGCAAACAGGGAGCAAGGACTTTCTAGTCTACAAGGAAGAGACTCTTGCCTCAACCTCTTGTGCTGAAAAGAGGATCTGTACTCCTTGTGAGAAAGCATCAGAAATGACAAATGACACTAGAATTTTAACCCTTTGAGGAGCCATGCTGAACCCAGACTCCTCACTTCCACACCTGTGATATCATCAGTAGATGCTAATCTGAGTCTCTACAATTTATAGTATTTGCAAGGTGATGAGATAAAACTGCGAAACAATTCAACCATCATTTAATAAGAAGCCAATTACAAATGCAAGAAATCATTTTTCCAACCTTGGAGCCTGGCTTCCCCCAAAGCATCATTTTCTGTAACACTATTTTATTTTAAGTGTATACTTGAGTATGTAAAATATTACTATAAATTATCACTGAATAAGAAATATTAGGGACAGTACAAATAGCCTTTTGAACAACTCTCTTCTATAAATGGACTTTATGTTTAAGGTTGTATCTTATTGTAACCAGTGTGTAAATCCTGCCAGCCCTGGGCTCCAGGAAGGACTGAAGCCATTCATTTGTTTGATTGGCTACAAAGTAGAAGTGTTGCAGTAATTTACCTTGTTGGTAGATTAACTCTGTAATCTTGTGCCAATTAGTAGTGAACCAAGCTTTAGCTGTCCTGTCCATAAAATATCAAGAAGTGTCTTATGTGGTATTGCTTATTTCCAATACAAGATTTGGAATACATTTAAATATAATCTTGGTTCATGAATTGAAAGTGTTGCCATAGTCACATACAAAAATCAAATACTCCCATATAAATGATCTTTCAGGTTCCTACACTGATGTCAATCCTTTGAGAAGAGCCGGGAGAGAGAGGAAGACTACAAACCTTTTTCTGAGTTAGATGTGGTTTGGATTGTTTGGGGTTTTTTTAATGAGGAAAATGAACTCTCTTGCTTATATCATGTAAAAAATGAATTATTCTTAGTATAGAAAGTTTGTTCACAATATAAAATCCTGAAGCACAAAAGGTTATATAGCAAGAAGCAAGTGTTTCTTTCATCTGGCTTCCTGAGTCCCTCTCTAAGGAAGCAGTTGCTCCCTGGCACTTTGCATTGTGAATCACTGGTGAAAAATTCTAATAGTAAAACTGCACATTTTTACTAAACATGTACCCATGAAGAGAAGACATCTAATGCCTTGCATGGATTTTAGCCTGTAACCTAACTAAACACTGTTATGTCCTAATTTTCAGAACTGCTATTCAAATCCAGCCTGCCACACTATCCCTCTTTATGATAAAATGTTCAGTAAGAAAACAATGACCTTGCTGCATTTAAAGAGTGCGGGCCCTTTATCCACCTCAGCTCCATTTATACTCTCCTCTTTCCCTTTAAATAAGTGAAGTACTTCTTACTGGACTTGGTAGGCTTAACCTCAGAACAGTTTGATATTTTAAGGGTACAAGACAAATGTTACCAGCTGTGCATACTTCTAAGAATTGAGAAAATAAACTCTACTCCTTAATCCTCTTTACCTGCTCTTTAATAATGGAGACATTCATTCTATGCTCACTGCTGGTTATTTCAAATGAGCAGTTTCCATGCACAAAGCAGAACGACCCATTGCTAGGCATAAGGCATCTTGACAGTCTCTTGATTTTTATCACGGTCACAAATTATCTTTAATCTCTAATCTGACTGCACACCTGTTTAGTTGTTGCTTTATTATTTAAAGTTCATTGAGGCCATGTCTACGTGTAAGTAACTTTGTTAGAATATCTACGCATTTACTACAAAATGATTTATAACTTACTTTTACATCTACCAAAAGTATTTCCCCAGAACCTACAATGTTCCTTTCTGGAGATGCAAAAAGCTCCCATATTTACAGATGGTGCTTTCAAGGGTCCATTCTCAGTCTGTAAATGGAAAAGTGAAGAAGAATTTGGATGTTTCCCATAATAATGTTCAGGTCTTACACCAGTTCCAGTGGAAAGTTGCTCCATGAATCAAGAAAAGCGCGCTATCAGCATTCTGCTCCCTCTCCAATGCAGTCTTGTCAGCCTCTCCCAACCCCCACACACACATACCCAGTCTGCAGAGAGTAGAGAGGTGGCAGAGAGACAGAATATTGACCTAGGAAGACACTGTCCCCACCACCCTTCATTCAAGACTCCCTCTAATAAAGAAAGATCACTTTACACTGTAATCAAGCAGACATGACTCAGCCTGTGGCTAAAATCATCAGCAAGAAACTCTACCAGGAGTACCTAAGGATGATTTAAGTTGGTGCCGGGTGTATTGTGTAAGGTCTGCCATGTGTACATGCATGTATTTTGATGACTTTTAAATTTCTCATAACTCCTTTCTCTATTTCGGGTACATCAGTTAAAATTAACCTTCGTCCTTTAAAAACCTCCACTCAGAGCTGTCAAATATTTTTATGTGAAGCACAGAGGCAGAGTAAGGAAGAAGCATTGTAAATGCCATGGTTGCTGAGGGCAGTAACTATCCATCGAGGGCTGGCAGCTTCTGTCCCTCCAGTCAGACCCATCTAGCTTTCTGGGCAAATGTCAAATTAGCATTCTAGGAAAGATACAGGAGCAGAGCCATTTATTTTAACAATCCTTTTCATTAACAATGTCATGGAACTAGCATTCTTGCCTTGAAAGAGAAATTAAAATAAATATTTGTGGTATCTGAGCAGATGTGCTTCAGTTCATTCATCCGGCAGATTATTTTTTGTTCACTGCTGTATAGCTCGCAGATGCTCTTCTAGACACGGGAGGGGCTGAGGTGAGAAAGATAGTGCATCTGACCCCAGTGAACTAACTCATGAGAGTTCAGGGGGAGTCACTCAGTGCTACTCAAATCTGTAAGCAAATGACTGCAATAAAAGCAAAGGCATATTCCCCATGTGCTATGTTATTACAGGGGATGGAGACAGAAAAGCAATAGGCCATGTGCACAATTCTTTACCACTGTGTGTATGCACACAGTGGGGTGGAGGTAGAGTCTTAGTTTCCTAAAACTTCATTTGTAAAAGCAATTCACAGAAAGCCCAAGGCAATAGGAAACCTATTGGGCGCATGGTCGCCTTTGTTAAACAAAGGATTATCTTGATAAACAAAGAACTAGCTGAATATCTATGACTTTACATTTTAGCGTAACCTTTCATAACCCTCTGAGGAGAGGTTTCCGTGTGTACGTTCTCTGACAAGCAGGGGACAGTGTGATGGTAGGGGTGGCATGGGTAGGACAAAGGCAAGACACCTGTCAGCAAGCACCAGTGCCTCCAGAATATCAAGTGTTTCATCATAAGAGACCTTGATTTAACCAAATGCCAAAACTGAGAAAAAATATCTGGAAGCAGGCAAGTATTAACTATGGTATCAATAATGCGATACTCTAGTCTTACTGTATTCTTTTCTTTTCATTTCTCCTGTAAAAGCTACATGCTCTTGGCTATAAAAATCTATTCTCTCTGAAAATCAGGTTAAAATAGTTATATTGATTAAATCAAAAAATACCTTGGCACAACTAAGCTTCCAGATTTAAATGTGTGCTGGGCTAATAGGAATTTATATAAAGACCTACATGACCATTGCTCTACTTTTAGGGAACAAGGAGTCTATTTTTATTACATAGAAATTAAAAAATTTTTATAGAGATAAAATTAATGAACATTTGATACATCATATAATAGACAATGCATGTGAGCATGTAACTAACATAGAGTGAACAGATTCATTCAAGTGTTACAATGGAAGAAACATTTACTCACATGTAAATGTTTGGAAGAGTTATGGAAAATTAGAGAGAGGTTGTAATCACAAAAATACTAAACAGTTTTATGAACAAAAATGATTTCCATCCCCAAAGTAATTCTTTTATAATTATAATCTAAAAATAGTGTAAATTTCTTGGGAAGTAATTGCTTTTTCCCATATAGATTTATGTGTGAGTTAAATATAATTTCAGCTGCAAAACAGAAGTGAATTGATTTTAAAATTCATATGAAATAGACATTGCATAACTGTGAAAAATACTTGAAAAACAAAAAAACTGTAACTCTTGTCCTACCAGGTATCAAATGTATAATTGTGCTATAATAATTAAGCCAAAACTATGAGCAAAAATAAGTAAACTAGTTAATGAAGGGAACATGTAGCCTAGAAAGAAATCCATAGCTATATGGAAACATAGTTGATATAAAAACTAGCATGATTGAATGAGAAACATGCTAACTAATTAAGGAAAATAGATATGTGATGTTTCTTTTGAGATATAATGTTTATCTTTATGTATAATATGCTTACATGGGTAATGTTTTCCTCTTTTATAACTGTAATAAAATACACAACATGAAATTTACCATTTAAACCATTTTTCAGTACGATTCAGTGGCAACAAGTGTAACCTGTAGCTCTGCAACTACCACCACTAGTGTCCAGGTGTCCAGAGGTTTCAGGACTCTTCCACCATGCTCTAATACCCTAGCCCAGGCATAAAAGCATTGGCACTAACTCATGACAGACACACAGACACCTCTAAAGCAGTGAGCCAAAATATACCAGTCCTCTTTCCAAGCCAATGATCTCAGGTATTTGCTGCAATAAACAAGAGACATCTAACCTACATAAATACACACCTGAAATTATAGCCACAGTCAGCAAACCAAGTCATAGATACTTAGGAATAATTAGGAACTTGCATTTTTAATATGTAAATATCACAAATTGACTGAACTTAACTAGTGAAGACTATTTTAAAAGAGCTAAAATAATTCCTTCTTTGTCCTTCATCCTCCAAAAATTCTACATCCACATGGTCATGGAGCTAGTGATAATGTCCCTGTTGACTCTCACTGTCACACAGAGATGTGCTGTATCATGTTATTTTCCATGTTTACTAGTTTTCACTAATACCTGGGCTGCTGGATGGCAGCCTACATGTGAAGCACACAGTTTAATGGATTTTAGAAGCAGTAGAATTTAATTTCCTTTACACGCAAAAGCATCCTAACATTCTAGAGAGAGCCGTGTATGTGTGTGTTCATATGACTACATTATTTAAACAATTGGAACTAGTGTAGCATTCATCAGTATAGAACGGAATTTGATCAATTTCACAAGCACTGGCATTTTCAACCACAGGACTCTATTGTTGGAGGCAGTGCTGTACATGGTAGGGATTTTAGTGGGCTCTACTCACTGGTTGCTAGTTACAGCCCTGTCTTCAATTACTACAACCCAAAGTATCTCCAGGCACTACCAAGTGACAATTGCCACTGCACAGATATAGAGTAAACTGGGTTGATATTCACATCCACAAATAGATGTTAAGAACTAATCATTGAAATTAATTATTATTTGGAGCATTGCCAAACACTGTTTTATCTGTGTTTTAAAGTGTTTACATACCCTTACAATAAGCATATAGACATGGAAGAAAAGTAGTTTATGTCACACCAGACCTTTACAGGGACAAAACCAAGTCATAGATACTTAGGAATCCCTGCTGTTCTTGTCTAACAGTGTTTAAGGGAACTGTACTGGACAATTTAGGTCCTTACACTTTGATTTCAATTGAAGTTCATTGTTAGAGAAGAGAGCAAACAAATAATTAGTGAGCCATTTCCATCAACTTTGATGTAAATGTTGCCATTCAATGACTATATGAAGGCATTTGCATTTTCTTAAACTCTATTTGAGAATTTGAAAGGGTATTACCAAGTCTAGTGTGAATCTGCCTCTCATCTTCCTAAGCTACCTTTTCTACTTTGCCTTCTGTTACAGTGATAAAACACCATGGCCAAAAGCAACTTGGAGAAGAAAAGGCTTACTTGATTTATAGGATACAGTCCATTATCGTGAAGAACTAAAACCCGAAGTCAGAAACTGAAGTAGAGATCTTGGAAGAACACTTCTTACTGGCTGATTTCCTCTGACTGGCTCATCCAGAGTCCACTGGACCAAGGGTGGCACCACCTGTCCACAGTGGGCTGGACCCATCAACTTCAATCAGCAATCAAGAAAGGGCCCCACAGACCTACCTACTGGCTAATCTATTGAAGCATTTCCTCAACTGAAGTTCCTCTTCCCAGATTTGCCAAGTTGACAACATGACGAACCAGGACAACATCCTTTAAAGATTATCTTCCACAGATTTCAGGGTTTTCTTGGTATTTTGTTTTTTGTTTGTATCTTAACATGACTGTTGTAGAAGTGCTACATATTCAATTTATAATTTAACTTCTCTCAAATAAATTCATTTGCTTTAAATCAACATAAATTATGACATTTGTAGAGACTTGATAATGATTTCAACTTATAATTCTCTAAGTAAAAGGAGTATTTAGCCAGTTATTTAGTATTTGGTCATGTATTTTCAGATTTAATGACATAGCTTAATGGATGGTGCTTAAATTTTTTGATTTATTTAGTAGTGAGTAAAATTATATGACTTCTCTGAAAAATAGAGTTTACATTGCATTTATAATCAATTCCAATTAAAGTAAAATATACAACTAATTATAGAAATATTTATGATGGGAAATCTAATAGCAGTGAGTCCTTAGTTTTATTGTAATGCATGGCTTGACTTTTAAAATAAAGTAACCTTTTATTTTAATTATTAAATAATATTATAACATCAGCATCATCCCATGTTACCAATGAGTGTTATTAATAGATACTCATAACATCCTTAGAACTCCCTAAATTATCACAACTCAGCTATTGTAATATAGACAAGAGCCATGTGTGCTTAGAGTCTCCAACTTCTCATATCTGAAGAAACAACAGAAGTACCTTCATCATTCATTCAGCCATTATTAAAATTAAATGTTAGGAGTACAGGTAACTTCAAAACAGTAGTTGAATATGGTGTTTAATTGAAGTAACATTAGATTTTTTCAATGTATTTATATATATATATAAGTATATATATATATATATATATATATATATATATGGTATTTTCCTGTAGTCTAAACTGACCAGGGAATCACTGTATAGCTCAAGCTGGACTTGTTCATCTTAACCTCCCACATATTGGAGTAAAAAGTGTGTGACACTAATTACTGAGCTTCTAAGTAGAATTATCACAGTAAATCTTTTCAGAAACATGTGAACATACACTACCATTTTGGAAATGTGTCCCTGTGATAGATTTAAAGTATCTATTATAACTTCCTTCTCACGGGCACACTTTGGGAAAATTTTCCCTCATGTTGACTGTGGGCTTAAGGTGTAACTTGCATTGGTCAATGAGACATTAACAAATGTGAAAGAGCTGGGCCTTTAAAAATGTATTCATGTATTTGGGACTCGACCATTTTCACTGCCATGGAGAAAACTGTAATCACTATGAGGAGAACCAGTCTACTATGGTCTGCTGGATGATAAGTGGGACATGACCCAGTTATCTCTATTGTCTTTGCAAACAGGCAGCCAGTCACCACACATGGGAGTGAGGTCATCAACCCCTCAGTGCCTGTTTTATGCACATGAACCCCATCAATGCCTCTTGGAACTGAAATGCAGCCCAGGAGAGTTGAACTAAAGCTGATGACCCATAGAATTATAAACATAATTGGTGTTGTTTAATGCCACTCAGTTCAGTTCAGGAGTGGTTTGTTATACAGTAGAAGCTAATTGCCAGCATCCCTGGCAGGGGAATATTCATAATTTAAAATGTAGCCAGTGTTTTAAATTTCTATTCCTAAATAAAAATACTAGTTTACTAGTAAGATATTATCAAGAGGATTAAATTATTAATACAACTAATGAATTGAAACTGTTCCTATTTGGTTTCACCCCATAATAAACATTGGACAATAGCATTGATGTATGAAAATAGAAACCTCCAGAAACAGTAACACAAAAGCTTTTCCTTTTGTGCTTAAACTGAGTAGCAGAGAATTTTCTGTATTATGCTTATTTATTCATTTATATACTTTTTAGTTTAAGACTGTCTCTTTTTTACATAGCCCACTCTGGCCCCAAAATTAAACTCACTGTATAGCTAATGATGAATTTCTGACCCCTCTGCTTCTGAATGCTGGCATTACAGACTTGTTCCATCATGCCCAAACTTTATGTGGTATTGGGGACAAAAAGAAAGGCATCACACCTGCTAAGCAAGCACTCTACCAACTTAGCTACAAGCCTAGTCCTCTGTACTATGTTTAACGATTCTGAGGTCATGAGCAATTTTGATAGTGAGTAGGAAGCACAGGCATGCTGTGTGGTCACAAACCTCACAATAGATTAGACTGACACATGGAATATTTGCATCCAAAATGCTATTCATTATTTACTTTGCATTGCCCATCTCTACAGAGCTCAGAGTTTCCCGATTCTTGATAACCATTTAAACAATTTTAATTCAAGCTGTAAAACTGTCATGTAAATACAATGATGCATAATTCTTCCCACTGAAAATATGGACTTTGTTTAGAAGAGGGTATCCAAGGACATTCCCCTTCCCATCTAGTTCTACTTGAACAGCCAGGCAGGCCAGCACAGAAAGCAGTGGTTATCACCACAAGAACTAACAGCCAGCAAGAAGGCTCAAGATGATGCATGCTGACTTCGGGTTGATCTCTCAGACCACACCACCTGGGGGGAATGTGTGTATAGTCAATGGGTTGGCCAGAGCCAAGGCAATAAACACCTGGTAGAAACAACACAAAATCAAATCTGATATGTCTGCTTTGAAGAGATGCCTGTTCTAACATCCAGTATCCCATTGTCTTTCTTCTTTTACTATTATAAACATCTTGAAGAAAGTTCTTATGGTAGGCCATTTGCAGAAAAGTCCATAAGCATCCACTTACCATAGCCTAGCCATGCTACATTGGGAAAGCCCCTTTCCCATTGGCTTAGTTAGAGGGATAAAAGCAAATGTGATAAATGTAGTATAAGCTACAACTTAATATATATTCAAACATTTGAGGCTTGACTCCTATGTGTGAAACTCTTGTATTCTCTCAAAGTTCTAAAACATATCTTTAATATATCTTCTATAATCATTATATGTTCATTGTGTGTCAGATATTATGCTAGCATTGTATATGAATTTGTTTATCAGGTTTAACTTTATAGTCACTCTAAGGTAGGTTGCATGGCCATTGCAGAGATTTAACAAGTGAATTTTTAAGAGGTATCTTAACTTATTCCAGGTTATTCTGTAATTGTGAGACAGAGCCAGATTTTGAAGCCCAGGCCTTTATAACTGCAATTAGCAATATGCTTGCCCATCATGCACTGTACTTCCTGCTGTGGACTTCCTGTGCATGCACAATAATGTGATAATGCAACAGACTTAGAAAAAGATCCATGTATCAGCATCTTAGCATTCTGACATTGAGGAACTTGCTTATCCTCATTGGGCTCTTGTAAAATGGGTGGTCTTCAGGTTGCTAGAGAGACAGGGATGACTTACTCAAAATAGTGTAATAGATCAGGGTTTAGCCAACAAAGGACAGGGCTTAGTGCAGGGGAAATAGCGCACACAGTGAAGCACACTGAGTCTGTAAATAGCTTACTATTATCCCCCCTCAAGTGATGGGGATGGTAGAGCACTTAAGAGGACCCTAGTCTGAACCACACAAAGCACAATGAAGGGTAAGGAAAGGCTTATCTAAGCTCACATCCCTGCATATATTTTTCACCCTGATCTCCCACCAGGGGTTCAATTGGCAAACCTTCATAAACCAGAGGGAAGGGAGCCCTCTGACAGTTGTTGTGAGTCAGCCTCCTGAGGCTGATGGTGAGTGGTAAAGTGTTGAGAATGGGAATTAACGAGTTAATGGAAATGGTGGGTCACATGTTGAAACAACAGTAATACCAACTTGTAGAACTTACCTATGATTAAACCAGTCAATGAATGTAAAATACTGCAAGTAGTCGCCCACTAGTGAGCATTAGATACTATTACTTCATCATTCCCATAGTGTTCCAAGAACTAGAAGCACGATTGTACCCTGAGGACACTTATCATCCAGCCATCCTCAGATGGTGTCAACTGAGTAGAGCTCTCAGCAGGGAACACATTTCTAACTGAAGTTGAAATTCAATCTTGTCTAGAAAAGCCTGACCAACTAGTGCACAGGAGAGGTTGTTTGTTATAGTAGCTCTTGGGCTCTTGTTGACAAACACTCTGCAGTTCAAAGGAGGAGATCGCCTGGTCCCAGAGCCAAGTCAGTCCCAAATGAACACACAGGAGGCTATATTAATTATAAAGCTGTTGGCCATTTGCTATGGTTTCTTAATGACTAGGTCTGACTTAATTACAAACCCATAATTACTAATATATATTGTTGTGAGGTCTTATCTTACCAAGAATGCCAGACTTGCACCCACTCCTCCCGGGATCATATGGCGACCCTCTACTCTTGACTACACTTCCAAGAATTCTCCTCAACTCCTAGTCCCACCTATCTTGCTTCCCTCTTGGCCAAACAGTGCTTTATTTATCAACCAATAAGACAACATATACACAGAAGGACTTCCCCCAACAAAGATAGAATGGGATGTGGCATTTACCAGGACAGCTCATCTCCTGCTTCAGTTCTCAAGAACTTTAGACTGAGGCTGGAAAGATGGCTTAGTGGCTAAGAGTACCTGTTGCTCTTGTAGAGGACCAGGGTTTGGTTCCCAGAACCCAGGTGATGGCTTGCAACCACCAGTAACTCCAATTCTAGGTGATCTCACAGACTCTTCGAACCTTCTCATGCACCAGCCATGTACAGGGTATACATACACACATGCAAACAAAAGTCAGGTACATAAAATAAATAAATATAGAAACATTTTCAAAGAGAGCTTTGGTCTGAGTCTTATATGATAAAGCCTGGGAAGGTGTAAGGAAGAAAAACTGAAACCTCAGAGGTGCTGAAGGTTCAAGAGCAACTAGAGGAAAACGGCATTCCTCCTGGTTCTGTAAAGTTATTCTGCCATGTTTTGGCCCTGGCAGCAGTGATCCTAGAAAGCCATGGTGGGAGTTAGGCCCATAACATCTGGTTTCCCTGTCAGGTGGAAACGGGAGAGGAATTGCCAGTGTAGGTCCTGATTCAAATCTTGGAGAAAAGAATACAGTGCTAAGACTGAAGCAATGTGATAACAAACTGGACACACTGATGAATTCCAACCAATTCAGGAAAAGTTGGGAGAGCAAGTCTGCTGTAAGATTCTAGAGCAAGAAACCAGGAAAACCTGGTGCATAAGGATCACAATAACAAATAATAGATATTCCTCATACTGTGTTGCCTTGCCAGCCTTAATAGGAGGGGAGGTACACAGACTTCCTGCAACTTGATATGTCATGTTTGGTTAATATCCATGGGGAGCGCTGCCCTTTTCTAAACAGATACAGAGGAAGAATGGATTGAGGGGCTAGAGGGGAGGTCCAGGGGGGGATTGAGAAGAGAGAAGGGAGGAGAAATTGCAAGCCAGGATGTAAATAATAGTTATTATTATTATAAAATCATTTTAAAAGGAAAAAAGAATCCACAAATATAAAATGAAGTAGTTTGGCTTTAAACCAAACAATGAGTAAAATACTATAGGAATCTACGACTGAAGCAATCGTCTTCAGTGTTACTGGGACTGAGACAAGCAAGATTCCTCAGTGAAGGAGACTTTGAACTGAATATCAGAGAAACAGTGACTTGAACATAGACACAAAGACATAGGCAGTGCCTTTGAAATCAGGAGATGAAGACCCTTAGATGGAAGGAATGTTCTTACAAAACTGCAGAATTATATAGAATGAATTTGAGGAAGAGCAAGCAATTTAGTATGACTGCCAGAAGTCCTTGAAAACCTGGCTTGGGTATATGGTTTTCATTCCAAAAGTAACAGAATCATTTAGAGAGAGAAAATGATATAAGAGAATCTATGAGTTACACACACACACACACACACACACACACACACACACATACACACAAGACACTACCAAAGCAAGGGTATATTCCCCAGGATTTTCTTTAACATCTTTCTAATAGTAAATAAATTCACATGATTTTTTTAAATTGCCAAATATTTTTATTGTTCACATTACAGTAATAGTTACCATCTACTTAGTTTTGGACTCAGAGACTTATGTCCTCTTTTAACCTTTCCAATGGCCATATGGACTAGATAATATTTTGATTATGCATGTGTTTATATGTGATATATATGTACGTGTGCACTGTGTCTACATGTGTGGCCAAAAGTCAAGGTCAGGTTTCCTCCTCAGCTACTTTCTACCTCACTTTCTAAGATCCAGTGTTTTACTGGAGTTGGACTTCAGAAATTTAGACAGGTTGCCTGTTTCTGTTTTCCCATGTACCACTGTACCCTGCTTTGTATGTGGGTGCTAAAGATGCAAATTCAGGTCTTAAGTTAGAGCAGCAAGCAATTTACCAACTAAACTGTCTCCCTAGGTCTAGTTATTATATTCAAGTTACAAGTAAAGAAACTACAAATAAAGAGAGATGTAGTCCAAACTCCAAACACATGGAGTCAGGTTTTGAGCCTAAGTCATTTGCACCTTAATCACAATAATACAAAATAATTATATTATAAAAGTTCTGGCACAGAAACAATTGTTTCAGAAGAGACTAGACTCCACAATTAAAAAAAATTTAACCTGTGGAGTAGTTTGAAAATTAACCCTTAAAATAGCTGTCATTGTTAGCAAATGTTAAAAACAACTCCAAGGGCTGGAGGGATGGCTCATCAGTAAAGAGTACCTGTTGCTCTGGCAAAGGACCTGGGTTTGGTTTGCATCACCAATATGGCAGTTTACAACTGTAAATAAAGTTCCAAGGAATTCCTCACCCTTTTCCAGGTTCTGGGGAAATTATATGCACTGCTGCGAATTTACACAGATCTTCCATGGACAAACGCTGCAGTCAAGGAACCTCTAGTATATTTCTAACATTATCAGCATCATTATTGCACTGGGTGCATGATG